AAAGACATTATTAGAATATGAAATTTTACGGATGCTAGTAGTTGCGCGTGTTAAAGTGGAATGCCCTTTTCATTTTGATTGTTCCTTTTTTAACTTATAAAGATAACTTATTGAAATTATATTATATAAAAGTATTAGTTTATCTTATACTTCTGTATTTATTGTTTATTTGTACATACGATAAAGTTCTTAAGATTAATATTAACTTTTTTTCTCGGAATTATAGAAACTTATATAGATAAAACACTTATGTTATTGGAATATATTAGTTAGACATATTAACCCTGCATTAATTAGCTAACCTAATGTGATTAGTTAAGCATGTTAGTTAGAATGTTAGATAGCATGTGACAGCTCATGCACGTGGGCCTCCCTGTATATAACATCATCTTTCTCATGATTTTCAAAAATACATTTCTCTATCTTTCCTAAAACTTCAACATGGTATAAAGAACCAGTTCTTTCTTCTAATTTTTCTCTCTCATGGACTTGAGGATTTCCTTCTAAACCCTAACTCGCCGTCGAAGTTTATTTTCGATGCGTCTGCTTCAACGTCGGTCATTAATTAATCCGGCTTATTATCTGCAATGGATACGCACTGATCAGTTGCTTCTTAGCTGGATGTTGGCTTCAATTGCAGAGACCATGCTCGATCATCTCACCAGATGCTCCACTTCTTCAGAGGTTTGGTCGGTATTATCTCAGCTTTTCCTTACTCAATCTAAGGCGCGCATTCTGCATCTTAAGTTTCAGCTTCAAACCCTAAAAAAACGGGGATTCTTCTTTTTGTGATTATATTCTGAAAATGCGCACTTATGCTGATGAGTTGATGTCTGTTGGTCACCATGTCTCTGATGATGAACTTGTGTTGTATATATTGGGTGGATTAGGCTCTGACTATGAAGTTGTTGTGGTGAATTTAACATCTCGTCTAGATTCCATTTCCCTATATGAGGTTCACTTTTGCCTACAAACTCATGATATGCGTCTCAACAGTCACTTTGCTTCTACTCCTATGGCTTTTCCTGCTACTGCCACTCCTTCCTCTGATAGTGTTGCCTCTGTACATTTTGTCTCAAATCGTGGCAATGCATCTTACCGAGGAAATTACAAAGGTCGAGGTCGCTTTCCTCCGGGTCGTGCTGGTGGTTGGTTCTACAAAAATACTGATAGGATTGTGTGCCAGCTTTGTGGTAAAGCTAATCATGTTGCTCTCAAATGTTACAGGCGGTTTGATATTAGCTTTACAGGTCAGGATGGCATCTTGCCTTCTCCACAAGCTCATTTTGGTGACCCCAGTGCTTTCTCAAATTGTTCTGCACCTTCTACCTCTTCTGACCCCAACTGGTACTTTGATAGTGGAGCTACTACTCATTTGACTGCCAATCTTGAGAATCTATTTCTTAATTGTGCTCCATATAAAGGTAAGGACACAGTCACTGTTGGTAATGGCTCTCAACTTTCTATCTCATATTGGTTCCTCTCATCTTCCTACTTCTCACTCTTCTCAATAACATTCTTTGTGTTCCTCATATTACAAAAAACCTGCTCAGCATTTCTCAACTTACCAAAGATAATAACATACTTATTGAGTTTCATGCTGATTCCTATCTGGTGAAGGACAAGACAACTCACAAGGTGCTGCTGGAAGGACTGCTTAGAGATGGTCTTTATCAACTTGATCTCTTTCAGCATGCAGCCCTTTTTCATTCTGCTTCTTTTCCATCTTGTTCTTCTCCTACAGTAACTACACCATGTACTCCAGCTGCTTTTGTAATCAATAATGATGTACTTCTTAATTGGCATAGAAAGCTTGGTCACCCTTGTTCTGGTGTGTTTAGAAAGATGATGAATGACTTGAATTTTTCTGTACCTTCTTCATTACCATTCTGTGATGCTTGTAAACTTGGGAAGTTGCATCAAAAACAGTTTTATTCTCAACCTACAAAGACAACATTGCCTTTTGAATTGGTTCATACAGATGTATGAGGGCCCTCTCATGTAACTTCTGTTGATGGCTATAGATATTATGTCCATATCATTGACCATTTTACTAGATTCACTTGGATATTTCCTTTAAAAGTGAAATCTGATGTTGTTCATCTTCTCAAACAGTTTAATTGTTCAAACTCAATTTCATACCACCATCAAATGTTTTCAATCTGATTGGGGTGGTGAGTATAGACCTTTGGACCATGTTCTTCAATCCTTTGGTATTATTTTCAGACATCCATGCCCTTACACTCATTAACAAAATGGTAGAGCTGAGAGAAAGCCCTTAAATATTGTTGAAATGGGACTTTCTCTTCTTGCTCATGCTAAAATTCCTCTTAAACACTGATGGGATGCCTTTTATACAGCTGTGTTCTTTTTCATAAATCACCCTATCAAGTTCTTTTTCATACATCCCTTGATCTTACCTTTCTCAAACCATTTGGTTGTACCTGTTTTCCTTATCTCAAGCCATATAATTCTCATAAATTTCAGTACAGATCCTCTAAATGTGTTTTTCTTGGATATAGTCTTCAGCATAAAGGCTATAAGTGTTTATCTTCTGATGGCAAAATGTTCATAACCATCACAGTAGCTTTCAATGAATCTGAATTTCCATATTCTTCATTATTTTCTATTTCTTCCTCACCTTCTTTACCTACTTCTTCTGCTCCCATAAGCTTTCCTATTCCTGCTTCTCTTTCTAATGTTTCAAATCCTTCTTCTTTCTCTGATGCATTTAATTCTTCTTCTAGTTCTGCTGGCGCATCTCATTCTAATTCTTCTTTTCCAGCTATTCCACTGTTTGTGAATCTACCTTTGCATTCTTCTCCCTCCATTGCTGCTAATTCTTCTTCCTCTTCTGATTCACATCCTTCACCTTCCTCTATTTCTCATCCACAACCTTCTCATTCTATGACCACTAGATCCAAAAATGGCATCTTTAAGCCAAAAACTTATTCAGCTACTCTCAAAGTTTTTAAAATCGAGATTCTAAGTAGAATCGTTTTGGGTGCAGAATCGAAATCGTAGAATCGGAATCGTAAAATCGTAAGACTCTACTCAAAACATCTAAAATTAATTATTTTAACAAGTTTTATGGTAATCATCAAGAATATGTATCAAAATGCTAAAAAAAAACCACCACATATTTTTCAAAATATAAAAGTTTAGACCTATTTGAGGTTTTCCGATTGAATCAGTTTGAATGTGCATAATTCCATACTCCAAAGTCAGAACCCAAACACGGCCAAAAACAGATCACCAAAAATAAAACATAGCTGCTCAATCTCCCTGACTTTAGGAATATGCATCACAGGAAAAACAAAGAACAAAATGAATACCATTTTAACGTCAGAACCAAAGTCACGGCCATCAAGGCGTCAACCAAAAATTCAATCTTCCGAATTCTTAAAATTGTTCTGTGAACTTCCCCTGTTCCAACAATGATAAAAATAAAAGTGTAGGGAGATAAGTAGAGATAAATGGTTACCTCTAAATGGGAGAAAAGCAAAGCGATGAAGCTTAATTGCTGAGAAGATTGCTCCGACGAAGAAGACGCAGGCGTCGAGGCCAAGCCATTTTAACGTCGTCGGAGTTCGGACTTTCGGAGGCTACAGCCGTGTGAACTCTGGACTGTGGAGGATTGGAGGCCGAAGAAGAAGTGAGAGAGAGATGGATTTGAGTTTAACGTCAGAGTACGACAGTCGGCCGGCGAGGGATGGAGGTGAAGAAGTCGCGATTTGCAACAGAAGAGCAGAGGGAATTAGGATTAGGGGAAAATGAATTCACATTAGGGATTTTAGGATTTGTTGGGTATTTTTTAAATTTTTTTTAATTAACTTGTTTTGGTTGGGCCAAGGGAAGGGAATATTTATGCTTCTTTGGGCCAATTTGTGTAAAAAAAATCAAAAGATATAGCCCAAGTGCCCAAACGCAGCCCAATTTTAAAATCTGGTTCATTTTTTTAGTTTTGCATAGAATCGGTCAAAGTCGTAGAATCGGACCGATTCTACGACTTTGACCGATTCTACCGATTCTGCAGCGACTTTACATTTCTTTGCGACTTTGAGCGACTTAGAATCGATTTTGTGACTTTGAGTCATAGAATCGGCGATTCTACGACTCTCAAAGTCATGATTTTGATAACCTTGGCTACTCTTACTTCTCTTCCTCTTTTGGAGCCTTTAACCGCAGTTGATGCTTTGTCCAAACATGAATGGTTTGCAGCCATGAAGGCTGAGTTTAAAGCTTTGCAGGCTAATCACATTTAGGTTCTGGTGGATCCCTCACCTGATATGAAAGTGATTTCCAACAAATGGGTGTTTAGAACAAAATACAAACTTGATGGCACAGTGGAAAAATTTAAGGCTCGGCTTGTTGCAAGGGGTTTTCAGCAGATGGCTGGAGTTGATTTTCTTGATACTTTTAGTCATGTGGTCAAGCCTTGCACTATCAGACTTATGTTCTCTCTTGCAGCTACCTTTTCTTGGTCTATTCAACAAATTGATATTAATAATGCATTTCTTGATGGTGACTTGCATGAAACTGTTTTTATGTCTCAACCTGAAGGCTTTATTGATCCAGATCATCCAAATGTTGTTTGCAAACTCACTAAGTCCCTTTTTGGACTAAAACAAGCCCCTAGAGCTTGGTTTACCAAAATTAAAGGTTTTCTGCTCAGCATGCAATTTCATGAGTCAATTTCAGATTCTTCCTTATTTTTTCAGAGCGTAAATGGTGCTCTTCTTTAGGTTTTGATATATGTTGATGATATTCTCATCACTGGGGATGATGCTGCTGCAGTTCATCATATTATTAAGGTTCTTGGTAAAAAATTTGCATTGAAAACTATGGGTTGGGTCAATCATTTTTTGGGTTTTGAAGCTCTCAAGATTAAAGAAGGATTTGTGTTAAATCAGGCTAAATATGCCTTGGATATTCTAGCTAAGACTGGTTTGGTTCATAGCAAAGCTGTACTCCCTTCTCTCCTGCTCACAAGCTTCATTTAAGTGACAGTGATCCTTTCTCTGATCCTACTTTTTATAGGAGTGTTATTGGGGCATTGCAGTATCTCACCATGACTAGACCAGACATCTCTTTTGCAGTTAACAAGCTTAGTCAGTTTTTACATGCTCCAACTTTACATCATTGGTCAGCCTGCAAGCACTTGCTTAGATATATCAAAGGCACACTTTCTGTTGGGCTTTTCTTCACTGTTGTGCCTCGGTTCACTTTGGAAGCTTACACTGATGTTGATTGGGCCAGCTGTGTGGATGACAGGAGATCTACTAGTGGCCATTTTATTTTCTTAGGGCCAAATCTTTTGAGTTGGAGTTCTAAGAAACAAAATGTTGTTTCTAGGAGTAGTGCTGAATCTGAATATAGAAGCATTGCTACTGCCACTACTGATTTGCTCTGGATGCAGTCCTTGTTTAAGGAACTTGGTTTATTTTTTGAATCTCCTTCTCTACTCTGGTGTGACAATGTTAGTGCAGCTACTTTAGCTTCTAATCCTGTTCAGCATGCCCGCACTAAGCACATAGAAATGGATGTTCATTTTGTGCGTGAAAAGGTTGCTTCTAAAGTGATTGAAGTTAGGCACGTGCCATCAAATTTGCAGCCTGCAGACCTGCTTACAAAACCTCTCTCTCCTGGCCATTTTCATTTGTGATGTTCTCGGTTGCCACTGCGTGCCAAGGACTGTTGTTCTCCCAGCTTGGTTTAATGGGGGTGTATTAGAATATATTAGTTAGACATATTATGCCTACATTAATTAGCTAACCTAATGTGATTAGTTAAGCATGTTAGTTAGAATGTTAGTTAGCATGTGATAGCTCATGCACGTGGGCCTCCTTGTATATAACATCATCTTCCTCATGATTTTCAGTAATGCAAAAATACATTTCTCTATCTTTCCTAAAGCTTCAACATATGTGTTTATAGAAACCAGCCAAATAGTTGACGGAAGCAGCTATAGAGCATAACTTAGTGGGAGACGGGCCCAAAGGTCGGCAAGACACTAAACAAATTCTCAGAATTTTTTCCTGTATTTTTGTGTGTTTTGTTTGTTTTCTCTCTTTTCGGGAGTGTGTTATTTGTAGTCTCCACTTATGGGAGTTTTGTAGTCTCCTGTGGGAGTTTTGTGTGTTTTGTTTGTTTTCTCTCTTTCTAGAACCAAAGCAGCGGACTTCAAGCACCGACCACCAACAGGCTGCCAACCGCGCCTGCAGTCACTAAACCGTCAGCAAGCCGATGCCAACCCACCCGCCATGGCCAAGAGCAACAACGAGGGGCCGACCCATCAAACAACAAGCGACCAACACTGGTTCCGACCATGCCTCGGCCCCTGACGGAGGGAGGAGGAGCTCCACTAGTAGAGGCGCACCGAGAACGGACGATTTAGGGTTTTTTTACTTGAGAAAGGGAAAAGGGGGAAAAGAGGTTCATGGAGACGAATAGATTCTTTTTTTTCTAAGATCAATATTAGCTGAGAGACAAGATTGTACATTTGATGACAATCATGAAATATATCCTTAGATCTATATCATCTTAGTCTATGAGTGTTTTAAGACTAGACATTGAATTATTGAATGACTCGACAAGAGTCTCTTCTGTCTCCCCCTTTCATGAGTCGATGATCAAAATTTATCCCCGATCGACAATTTAACCTATAAAAAATGAAAGGCTCGACTTATGCATACCGATGGAGGCGGGACAACAACTTATCAAAGAGTCCACCAATCAACGTTATGTGCCGATCTCAAATCTACATGAGGATGTCGTGTGGGGGTTGATCTAAATGTGGACACCGATATAAACTCCGCATGACGATGTCGTGTGGGGGCTGATTTAAATTCCCCTGATGATGAAATGCGGGCACTGATCTAAATCCTCATGACAATGCAATGTCACCTTTTATTTCTAGTACCTGGGGCCCGAAGGCTAATCTAAAGTCCCATGAAGATGTAATACGATCACCGATGTTAATTCCTCGTTACGTTGCAATATGAGCGTGATCCTTCAGGTATCAAAATACAGGGGTCGATCTACACTCCCTGCACGATGTAGTGTGGGAAACAATCTAAATGCCCCATGACATAACTATACAAGCGCGACTCTTTGGCTGTCAAAACATGGGGGCCGCCCTAAATTCCCCTAACAATGCAATACGATTGCCAAAAAGAAGTGCTTGTACACGTCCGGGGGCCAGGCTGAACAAGGTCCCGTGGGGGTTAAACCGTCTCCACGGGTCGAGACTAATCATTGAGGTTAGTCAAGACTACAAGCTACCCTCGCGATCGGCTATAATCACCAGATCGGCTAACATACTACTCATCTGTGCAAAGATATTCCCAGAACACTTCGGCTGATTACCATCTTGTGCGGTGTACAACATACCAATAAGCACTTACAAATTCAAAGGGGCGAGCTACCGACACGCGACCAATAAGTCTGCCACAAGCGAAAACGAGAATTTAAACATGTCGCTAGAAATTCTCAATAGAAAGATCGACATACCCATCTAGCACCAAAACATGAAGCGAACGTTCAACCTACGCCAACATGGTACCTGATGCTGAGAATATTTTGCAAACTCTTTGCGTCTCCTCAAATGGCGATCTTACAACTCCATTACGGTCCACCCAACAAATATAATTTTATAAACAACATGTCTTTACAGATGAAAAGGGACGGCCTTTATCGAATTTCTAAGGGCCTGAACCTACGTTAACGTTTCGCCTTCCCGACGCAAGGTGATCCCCTACACGTTCGGACACGCACTCTTAGAAACGCCAGCACCATCCTCAATGGTGATAATACTGATGTCCCTGAAGGAGTGACACTCAAATGCTTCACTACAAAACAAGAAGGCAATCTTTCGTCAAATACTTGATCGAAGAAAAGTTCTATCCTCACTTCACAATCAAGGCAATTGATCTATACACTTCTTTGATATTTTGTCAATCCCTAGACAAAAAGCAAGTCTTATCCACTAACAGTACTTCATCAAAATACCCCTTGATAAAATCAGACAGATCTTTTCTGATTCCTTATTGTCCAACCACATCAAAAAACCAATGATGTACCCTTTCCTTTGTGTAAACAAACACTTGGCTCTCTCCAAAGATATTATTACTTTGAGATACTACTTTCCCAAAATACAAACACAAGCAGTCGGGCCAGCCGTAAACCCACTTGAGGTCGGTAAAGTTGTTAACCCGCCTATATACCCGCGTTCGGCCCAGCCATAAACCCGCTTGCAGTCGACAAAGCCATAAACCCACCTTAAAAACGCATAAACCCGCGTAATATGCTTAAAAGCTTGCGGTCACACTCATTGTCGGCCCTGTCATAAACCCGCTCTACAAATGCATAAACTCGTTTAATACGCTTAAAAAAGCCTGCGGTCTCCCTCATGGTCGGCCTTGCCATTAACTCGCTCAAAAAATGCATGAACCCACGTAATATGCTTAAAAGCTTTTGGTCGCACTCTCGGTCAGCTCTGCCATAAACCCGCTCTACAAACACATAAACACGCGTAATAGCTTAAAAGCTTGCGGTCACATTCGCGGTCGACCCTGACATAAACCCTCTCTACAAATGCATGAACCCGCGCAACATGCTAATAGCTTGCGGTCGCACAAGGGGCTAGGCCATTAAATAATTAGGTGCCGATCTCAAAGCCAAAAGGCTAAATTTAAAAAATTAGAATATTAGGTGCAAAAGCACACTTAATGGCACTTGCCGACCTCAGGGCCAAAATGCCAAAATAAAAGCATTACTTAACAAAATGGCGAAAGCCCGTAATAACAAATATTACTATCACACATTCATCCATGCATCACTCACCGCTCCATTCATTCATCCACCAACATACACAGAATAAAGCAGACAAAACCATAAGAAAGAAAAACACTCAAGTCGCATATCTAGCTATCCTTAGTCTTCTTAGGACCCTTCACCTTGGTGACCTCCACCAATGGTTGGTGCATTTTTTCTATGGAGATCCACCAATGATAATGGTGCGGCTTATGTTGAGATCCACCTATGCTAATGGGGTGACTATCCTCCTTGGATCTTGAAAATATGTTACAATAGTCTCATACCCTTTCTGGAGATATTTATTTTATCCGGCAATGCAACGGTGGTCTTTTGATTGGTCGTAAAAAGTGTGTAGTTTATTAGCGTATTTTTATATGCTTAATTTTATCGCATTTATATGTTTTTCGACTTATTTATTTATTAGACGGATTTGAGTGCTATAATATTTTTATGTGTTAATTTCAGACTTTTGGGCTACTTTTATGGACGGCGAGATATGAAAGGAAAATTTTGGCCGGCAGAACATGGGGATGCCCCATACCGAGGCCCAATGTGTAATGCCCCGTTTATTTGTGGATTATTTGGGATATATTATTATTATTATTATTGTTATTTCTGTGATAATATTTATATTTATTTTTCTTGAATGCCATAATATTTAATAATTGTCAAATGTGATTAAATGCTAAATGTGTAATTGTTTAATTGAATTTTTGTGATTATTAATGTGTATTTAAAAATATGAGAATATAAATATATATATTGTTCGGTTTATTTTATCGCGTGTTTGCATTCGAAATCGAGCCCGAGGATTTTCGTTGGAACTGAAATTGGGCCCGAAAAATGTCCGTTTAAATTTTTAATCGAGCCCGTGAGCCGATTTAATGTCCCAACCGGCCCAAAATCCATTTGACCCAACTTCTCGGGCCCGGCCCGACAGATTTTCTCCTCTTTTTTCTTTCACGCGTGAGTTGTGTTATCTTGAAGAGAAATATTCCTAACCCTAATCTATTATTTGTCTAACTCTCACGCTCGGTGGAAGGAACCTAAGCCCGCAGTCACTTCCTTCCTCGTCAAAATTCGATCGCGTACAGAGAAGACAAATCCCTCGTTTTCTTTTTCTGTTCATCCTCTTCGCTTCGTCTGTCGCGAAATCCCGTCACCATCCCTCTTTCCCCTTGTGATCCGATCACCCATCATCATCAACACCATCGCGTCGCCGCCTGCTCTCCTCCGACGAGCGCCTGTAACTCCTTTGCGAGCCCCCATCGCTGCTGCTCTGTTCGCGCAGGCCCTCCCTCCGGTGAATCCTCCACGACCGGCGCCTGCAAGCCCTCCATCGCTGCAGCCCTCTGCTTGCAAGCCGACGAGACTTCCCCTCCGGCGACCCTGCTGCCCCTCTGCCGACGACCAACGAGGCCCTACGGCCGCGTCAAGCCTGCTCCTCTTCCGCGAGCCAGCCGTTGAGCCCGTGCCGCCGCTTTGTGCCGCCGCGAGCTGCTCCTCGTCTGAAGCATCGAGCGCCGCAGCAACCGAGCAGTCGAGAATAGCCGCCGCTGCACCTTCTTTCCCGGCGAGACGCGAGAATCCGTCGAGCCCTTCATCCCCGTTCGTCTTTTTCGTTTCTGTTTTCCGAGTTTTCCCGAGAACGGTACCTAGTCGATCCCGTCTCGTTTAAATCGTTTATATGTTAATTGCTTATCGTGTTTTAAATGACGTGATGTGCCCTTGCGATTTGATTTACGAGATGTGAATATGTTGCGATTAATGGGTTCGACATGAATTTATGTGAAAGAGATGATTTTATGTGTAATCGTATATATGTTCGGGATCTCTTCGATTATGAGAAATCGAACGAGGACTCGAAACTCGTGTAAGTCAGTGGATATTGGAACAAAGTCGAGTCCTTGGCCTTATGGGAAGGCCTCGGACGAGAAATTTCGTGTTATGAATTAATTGTTAAATTGTCGAGCATATATGTCGCTGTTTTGGTGTTTGAATTTTTAAAAATCGCACACTGCTCGGAATGGCTTGAAATTTTGAGGAATATATATTATGTTGTTTACCATGCTTGTGTAAACATTTCGTAATTTTTAGAGGCCTGTAGCTATTTTTAATAATTAAAATGTAAATCTGAGCAGAATAGTATTAAATGCATAAAAGATTCATTCGTGAATGAAATGAGCTGGGATTCGAGTATGTCATGCCTCTGTGACTTTTATATGTTGTGTTTAATTTTTAGAATTTTTGGACTTGATTTGATATAGATAATATTTTATTTATTGATTCTGCAGAAGTGTTGTTTGAATTTTTAAAAATCGGTTACTGCATGGAAAATTCTGAAATTATACTGAGAGTCATATTTTAGGTGTTTGATCATGTTTGTAAAAGATGAGAATTTTTAGAGTCTGTTTTGTTTCAGATTGGGTTTAAATTCGATAAACTGCTGTTGCTCATTTGAATTTTTAAAAATAGCAGCAGTTATCATTTAAGGCTGAAATTTTTATAAGTGGACTTTAGCATGCTGTATGTGATTGTGTAAAATTTTCAGGTTCAGATTCGGTCAATAAGTCCGAGTATGAATTGATGTGCCCATTTTGCTGATATACTGTTCGAATTTTATAAAATAGGGTATTTTGAGTTTAAAGCTGAAACTTTGTGGTTTTACATGTTGCTGGAAGATGAAATTTTGGGTAAATTTTCAGAGCTTAATTCGTAGGATAGCTTGACCATCTATTTTCATGCGATTAAATGATTTCTATTTCCGAACATGATTTTTATGAAAGTTGGGAATCGACTTGCTTTTCGTTTTGATGTGAGTTTGGCTTGGTCAATCCTTAGATGAATTTATGTGAACTCCCATATGTGATTTGGTCGAGTTTAGTGCCGAGTCTTAGTGTTCCAACATCCACAGGACTTCACGAACTACTTAGTCGAAACAAGTTCGACTAGGTCTGTTTTGTGTTTTCCGATTTAGTCACGATATTGATTGTAGGATCTTGACATAATGTAGGTGTTTGAGGAGTCAAGCCTCAACCTACGACTATTCTGAATTACTGTCATCAGTCCGAATCCAGGTGGGTTGTTATTCTAAAATTATCTATGCATATGTGTGATTTAATTGTGTGGAAAATTTGGTATGATCTATGTATGCATGTGAACATGTAGCCTATCGATGTGAGCTGTTACGGCCGTCGGTACGGTTGTCCCCGTCGAGTTACGGTACGGTGCCCTTGTGTGGCAATCTCCTTTAAGTCCTGATATGGCCGTGCCCTTGTGAGGTACGTAAGCCCATATGGAAGGCCGTGTCCGTTACAGTGGCACGTACTCCCGCCTTCGGGTAATGAATCCCCGTTCTGCGGCTAGCGATAGATGTGCACATGAGTAAGGTTAAATGGTGTGATTTTGATTAGGAGATGAGACATGTTGTGATCATTGTTTATGTTCATGCTGCGACCATACCATTGTTATGTTATTCATATGCATAGTGTGAGTACGATATTTAACTGTACTCACTCCCACCTGCTCTTCACGGATGCAGGTTAAGCAGCTGGCGGGTGACGAGACGAGATGACGAGTGGTGGTTATATTATTTATTATTGCTTTATTAACCTTGCTTCCGCTTAGTTCATGAACACATGTTGAATTTGGATATTTTGGCTATGTCATTTCGGAACATGGAATTATGAATTATCTTTTATGAACTGGAACCTAATGAATGCTAGATTGGTTTATGGTTTATTATTCGTGCATGCTGCCTTTATTTGCTGTGTTAGCATTTTTGGATAAAAGCTTTTGGTAGGTTGAGTAGCGCCCACTGAGTTTTTAATTAAATTGAGATTTGCGAAAAAATTTATTGTGGTTTCTATTAAATAAATTCGATAAATCTTTCAAAATAAAGTGGGGCGTTACACAATGTAGGCCACATAGCGTGGGCCAAGTTTTATAACTGAAGCGCACATATATTGAATTTGGAGCTACTCACGCCACTAACCCAAGCATGGGTTGATTGAGCTTAATTAAGGGGAATTATTTACTCAACCACCAAAAACAAGAGGATTGATTTCACTCAAATAGGAAGGGGATTTATTTGGATGATGGACAATTAATAAAAAGGCAGCCACAAGAGTATGTAATTTATTCACACAACCCCCCTATCACATTCATGCAGAACAGAAAAGAGAAAAGAAGCAGCAGAGGAAGAAATACGCGCAATAGAGGACAGACGCGAGGAACCCGATCAATCGCGGACGAAGACCGCATCCGCACTCAAAGTGGATAATAATATTCTTCTCTTTTTATTAGTATTTATTATGTTTGAGTAGATTTTATTTCTAGTTCCAGAAGTGTCAAACCCTACGTACTTGGCTATGTTTAATTAATTACGGTGATTGATTATTTTGCTATTTCTATGAAATTGTTTGTGTTATTTTGATTGATCAACCATGATGTGTTTGATTTTATTTAGATTGATCACCTAGATAATTTTTTTCATGTCTATGCTAGATTAAACTTGCAATCCGTATTTGTTATTGAGTTTATTTCGTAAGTAGCAACAGAAAGATGGTAACTATCGGGTATAACACGGCCTAATTAAGTGACCCATGCGGTTGTGTTTACTACTTAACTAACCTATTTTTCTAGATCCTAAAGTGGCTATTGCATTAAATCTAGAGAGCATGTTCTAGACTGTCCAATAAGTCATGTTTAATCGTAGAGCGTCTCTCGGTTAAATTAACAGTAAGAAAAAATTCGGGTAGTAGAGCGTGTTGCTATCTAGGGTTAGATAAAAAAGGCAGCCAGGAACCTGGGGCCCCTCTGTTATACATGATTCTCGCCAACCTAAATTAATACGCAACAATTGTCCCGGAGTCCCATCAACACGCAATCAGTGTCAGATGATCAAAATATGACTTTTATGATCTCTTGGGTTGTCGCTGCCATCTCCCAGGACTGCCATTGCCTTATTAACATACAAGTTAGTCTTAGGGTTTTGGGAGCCTTATTTAAAGGACTCATCTTCTTTGATGTTCACTGGTTGACTTTGAAAAAGAATATACAATTTATCGAGAGAGTTCTCTTCTCTTTATTCCCAATCGTCTACCACGCTACATCAGCTGGTTTCAGAAGTCAACACGATTCAAGATGCCGCTGCGACGACAAGATACAATTGACCGATGTGACCCCGCCATCAATGATCTGTTTTAGCAGATGGAGGACCAATTTCAGCAAATGGACGATTGATTCACATATCTGTCAATGAGTATCGAGGAATTGCATCTCATTATCCATACCATGGTGGAGGGTGTGCATAGACCGACGACTGAGGCATGAATGGGGGATTCCTCGGTGGACGTGGAGGACGTGGCATAGGTGGGGCTCCCCGCTTGCATTCGCTACAATAGTTGTCTAGCGAGGATGAGGGCGAGGAGACTATTTTGTACGTCAATTCCTTCAATGACTGACATGCGCGCCGTGAGCCGAGGGCTTTGACAAGGATGACCTTCACGACTGGCGGCCTTTGGCCCAAGGTTACGTGGATTTTGATGAGCAGTGGCGTTGCGAGCCTCAGCAGGAGACTGAGGGCTTTGGCGAGTCGCGATGGGAGACAGGTGAGGCATCTTACCAGCGACGCGGGCGTTTTCTACGTCAGTCCGCCCAGTTTTGGATGAGGAGCCTCCAAGGCCGAAGGAAAACTTGATCGAGGATGCCAACAGATCCCATGCGCTTTTGGCCGAGGACTACAGGGCGCCGACTATGGCGGGCCGCCTATGTTCGATGAGGAGCAGCCAGCGACTGAAGAACATGTCTGCAGCAATGTGGGTCCATTGAAATATATGACCCTTTCTGACCTGCAAATAGTTCATTGGGATTGCACAGATGTTTTACGCAATAATGGGGTACGTATGCATTTCACTGAGAATGTTGGTGGGATAATTCCTCTATCCTTGGATTGCTACAGACACAAGCCACTCTCATATTGAATTACAATGATTTGAGTGAGATAATTTTTGAACAACTGAGTCACTGTTTAAGCCTTGAAAAATTGAATGTGTCCTATGACAACTTTACTGAGTTGGTCCCACTTTTGTGTGGTTTGATTAGGCACTCGATTGTCAAGCATGTTGTTTCCAATGGCGGATACTTGCAGGCACGACTCCCTCAACAACTTGAAGAACATCAGATGTTGCTAGTTTTCTTGGGCTACGACAATTATCTTTGTCGATTAATGGATGGACCTAGGACGATTCCATTTGAGATCGGCGCTTGTGTGTAGGACAGCGGTTGACAAAGGCAACAAGTTCGGGTCTAATTCGAGGGCAAATCCTGCTCAACTAGGAGAGAATGATGAAGAATAGTGTTTATTATTATTATTATTATTATTATTATTATTATTATTATTATTATTATTATTATTATTATTATTATTATTTAATATTTGTTATTATTATTCAATTGTTATTATTATTATATATTTGTTATTATTATTCAAAATCTTAAGGTTTTGAGAGTCTTATTTAAAGAACTCATCTTCTTCGATGTTCGTTGGTTGATTTTGAATAAGAATATACAAGTTATCGAAAGAGTTCTCTTCTCTTTATTTCCATCGCCTACCACGTTACATCACCACTTTTACGTGAGACCTTATTCATTATCTATTCAATTTTAATTTTGATACATGAAATTATTATTTTTTATATTATAAAACTGATAATTGTAATTTTCTATTTAATATTTTATAGGTAAAAAGTTAAATTCAATTGAAAAATCAAGGTAAAAGGAATGTACATGTGTATTTTTGGAATAAAGTAAAAAATACTTTTGTAAAGAATTCATAAAAGAAAAAAAAAAAAAATTATATTTGATATAACTTTATGGGAATAACTGTAAATACACTCCACTAATGTAAAAGTTAGGAGCAAATTTGCAAACCGTAATATCTAACTTCCCCGTCAATATTCACTTATACAATTAACAATTTTGAGACAAAAAATGCAACAATAAATTACAAGCCCACTTTTTATGGGTAAAATATACATGACCCCCCTGTATTATATGAAATCTGTGCGTTTTTCCTTAGTATTTTGAAAATTGCATCATACCCCCTTGTATTAAGGAACTGTTGCACAATTCTCCCCCTCTCTGTCCAACTTAACGATGCGTGCAGTACACATTTATGTAATTCGAAAATTATTCATTTTTTTCATATATTTTTTTTATTTTAAAAGTAAATTTACCATTTTTCCCCTTGCTTTTCTGGTAAAATATACATGACCCCCCTGTATTATACGAAATTTGTGCGTTTTCCCCTGATATTTTGAAAATTACATCATAACCCCTTGTATTAAGGAACTATTGCACGATTCTCCCCTCTCCATCCAACTTAACGGTGCGTGCAGTACACATTTCTGTAATGCGACAATTATTCATTCTTTTCATATATTTTTTATTATAAAATTAAATTTACTATTTTGTCCCTTGCTTTTCACCCATTGTTGGGCAAAAATAATGTGTTTCGCTGCTCCCAGGGTTCGAACTCGGACCAAAAGCTCAATAAACAAGACTTCAAACAATTCTACCACCATCATTTTATGATACATATCTAACATACATTAGTTTAAAACAACAGAACAGAAGAAAACTTACTAAAAAAAATAAAACAATCACGAAATAAATAAATTAATTATAGAAAATATAATTAAAATAAAATAAAATAATAATTAAATGTGAAATTTGAAAATAATAAATAAATATATTACTATTTGATGGGTCTACTTCTAGATCAGAAGAGAACCGATGGATTTGAGCTCAGATCTGCTTGAACCGCCTCTGAATCGTTGCTAGACCGCGAGAATACCTGAAAAAACTCAACGCCGGAGGTGTTTCCGGAGTAGAGCCTCTGACGCTCAAGTCAGAAAAACACTATTTATAATTCAAAAACTATTAATTAAAATATCAAGTATCCTTTTTTATGAGCTATAAATAAAATAAATAAGTTTTGGTTATTTTAATTATTATTCAATATGAATAAATATAAACTTGTATAAAATTATTAATCTTATTTATAATTTAAAATCTCTTTATTTAATTTATGTATTATTTATAATTTTGAATATTTTTACTTTATCTTATTATCTAACAACAATACTACTCAATTTTATAACAGTTTCTAAAAAATCGCTCTCTCATCTCGCTGCTCCTTCTCTCGCTCGCTCATCTTCAACTGCGATTTGTGCCTCCTTCAACAGTCGGCCGGGTTCGCCGGCGGATGGCTCCCTTACCGAGCATCCTTCTCCGATCAAAGGCGCTATCGGTCTGAGCTTCCAATCGAAGGACGGGCTAGGGTTTTGCCGGATCCCCTTTTTCTATGCGATGGCCGCCGTCTTCAGTGGTTCGAGGTTCAGTGGGTGCGTCGCCGATCCTTGGGTGCGGCATGGTTGCTCGATTCAATTCAGGTAAGGTTGATTCTCTCTTGACAAGCTCTGATGTCCGACTGCCTCGATTGTCCTGATTCTACCGGTGTCTTTCCGGAGTTGTGGGGTGTTTGGGGCGGGTTTCGGCCTCGAGTGTTTTTCGAGGGATTATCGCTTGTTGGGCTGTGTTGTAGCTGCCGGGCCTTGATGCCTTTCGATCCCTTCTCCCTTTTGCTCTTCGGTTCATTTGGGAGGCCGCTCATGTCCGATATTGGCTAGTTGTGTTAGGTGATGTCGGGATGGTGTTGGATTCGGCTAGTGGTGTTAGCCGATTGGGGGTTGATTGTTGTATCTTGCGGTTGGAGAGCAGGTTGGTTTTTTGGTTTGTTTCACGGCTTGGGTATTCGTCTTTGCTAGGCTTTCGGCAGTGGCGGGCAGAGTTTCCTAAGCTGTGGATCTTCCGAAGTCGACTTCGTCTGCTGACCATTCTCGGTTGTCTCTGCTGAAGGAGGGCTTATTTAGTGTGCTTAGTGTTTGTTTGTTGTTTTCTGTGATTTTGTTCGTTTGTTGGTCTGTGTGTTTGTTTGTCTTTGTTTGGATATGAATACAGGCTAGGCATTGTGCAGTGGCTCTGGTATTTATATTCCTTTATTTTCGGTTGTGGAGTTCTCTAGGCCGCCACATGCGTGTCCTCTCAGTTTTCTATTCTTGTTCTTGTTTTAGGCGTGTTTTTGGTTTGGGCCGTTGGCCCCTGTCTCATTACCCTGTTGGGGCCTTAGATTACCCTGTTGGGGTCTTGTAATTTGTTCTCTTTGCACTTTTGTGCTTTTTATAGTACATCTATCGTTCCGGAAAAAAAAAAAATATTTTTACTTTACTATTATAGCATTTATTATTTAGAATCTATTTACTTTATTATTATATTATTTTTTAATTTATAATATATATACTTAATTATTAAATTATTTATAATTTATAATCTATATACTTAATTATTATGATATTTCCGTTATACGTTATGATATACATAGATAGAATCACAAATATAACTAAATGCCTAGTAGCCCAGTTGGTGGGAGATGCTTTTTACAACCCAAAGGTTGTGGGTTCAATCCTCACCATTGGGATTTTAATTTTAAGTTGGCACGTTGACAAGGGTATAATCGTAAATTCATTGATAAAGTAAGGGTATAATGGTAAATTCAATGAAAAAGTAACGCCGTTAATATTAAAGTAACGGCGTTAACATAAAATGGCGAGTGTGCATGTAAACATTAAATACAAGGGGTTTGACGCAAAGTGAAGTGGAGGCTCCTTTTTCTTTGGAGTTTTTTTTTTCTCTCTCTTCAGAGTCGTCGTCCTCTTAGAGGTTCTCTGTACTCTTTGTTTCTTGTTTTCTCTCCCCGTAGTCGTCCACGATTAGCTCTAGTTTAGTTTGTAGTTAGTATCTCTTTTTTTGCTCTTTTGTTCTTTTTGGTTCTCTTCCTGGGCTTTTTCACCTCCTAATCCTCTTCCCTTAATCCTAATTTCTCCTACCCCTCCAATCATCACTATTCTCCCATCCCCTTTTCTACTGTTTTCTGTTAGTTTCCTCCTTTTGATGGCAGAAGAACTGTCCCAACACCTTCATAGGTTTAAACTATCAAAAGAGGAAAATGTTGAAATCGGTCTCTAAATTGATGATATCCGTTTCCATGAAGAAGAATGCGCTCGAAGCCTACTTGAAAAAATCCATGGTTCTAAAAAGGCAAACATAACAGGAATCAAAAGAACGATGGCTCTCATTTGGCCAGTGGAAGAACCATTCATCACCTGAGAGTTGGGCCTCAATTTCATCCAGTTTGTCTTCTCCTCATACATGGATAAGAAACGCATTGCAAAAGGTAGAAATTAGACTTTCGACAGGCAATTTCTACTCCTGAAGGAATGGGCAGAGGGGCTAACTTCCCAAAATGAAGTATTTAACTATATAGATTTCAGGGTTCAGGTATGGAATATACCCTCAAACTGGTTCAGTGTTGATGTTAGAATCGAGAGAAATGTTCAATAAAGGAAAGGATGTGGTTGTTCCCATTCAAGGAAGTATGAGAGCTAGGCACCTCAAAATCCTAGCTTCTGTTGATTTAAGTAAACCACTTCCCAGGATTGAAAAAATAAAGTTGGACAACAATTTGGTATTGGTGAACTTCAAGTACGAAAATATCACGAATCTCTGCTTCTACTGTGGACGAATATGACATATGGATAAAAATTGATTTGAGAGAAAAACTGACATGGAGAATAACCATTTCTTAGAGAGCCAGTATGGCGAGTGGATCAAAGCTGAAGACGGCGGTGGGAAGTCCAAAATTTGGAAAATAACCATCAGGCCTCTCCTCAACCCGGCATTGCCATTTTGCAATCAG